ATGTTTAGGGAATCAGTGCAAAATGCTACGCCACCCCAGGACTGGCGTACAGCTACCGTAGTAGCACTGCACAAGGCTAGACCTAAATATTAAGCAGGAAACTACAGACCCGTTAGCCTAACGTCACTGTCGTGTAAGTGCCTGAAGCGACTAATCAGAGGACAGATTTGCCTACATCTAACTAGCAATCGACTCCTGTCACCGGCACAACATGGCTTTGTGCAACGGAAATCATGTCTTACGAACCTGTTTGTATTCCTAGACGAAGTCACTCAACGTATGGATGAGGAGGAAAATGTAGAAGATTGTTACATGGACTTCAGCATCTGACTTTGTAAGCCATAGATTGTGTGAATTCAAAGTTCGGAGCCTAGGCATAACAAATAGAGCCAGGGACCGGATTGTAGCCTTTTTGAACAACCGCACCTCCCGGGTCAAGGTGGGTAACTACATTTCTAACCATGAGGTGGTTACGAGTAGAGTTCCCCAGGGCTCAGTGCTAGGCCTCTTAATTTTTCTCATATTCATCAACGATCTTGCACAGGATCTTCAAAATCCGTGCTTCATGTTTGCTGATGATGTCAAAATGACAGGGTTAAACCTGCAAAGGGACCTAGAGGTAGTACATCGATGGTCGGTCAAGTGGGCCTTACCTTTGAATCTAAGCAAGTGTCGGCTCTTAGCAACGAGAGCTGAGTTATCCTGGATTACTGGAGCTCCCATGCAGCAGGCCCCGCAGATGAGAGACCTAGGTGTTCTTATGACCCAGGATTTGAAACCATCAACCCAGTGCTCCAAGGCTGTAAATCAGGCCAGGATGCAGCTGTTCAGGCTGTGCTACAGTAACATGCAGACGGCCTGAGGATTTTGTCCCCTGTATAGGTCGATTGTTTGCCCACACATGGAATAATGTGTGCAGGCATGGGCACCGTATTACAGAAAGGATGTATCTTGTTTAGAAAGAGTGCAGCGCCTAGCTACCCGAATGGTGGCTGGGAAAAAGAGGAAGAGCTATGAGCCGTGTTTGAGAGATCTTGATCTCTTTTCTCTGAAGCGTAGAAGAGTGAGGGGAGATCTGATAGAGACTTTCAAGATTGTAAGAGGTCTATCGGGACTCAACCTAGACGACTTGTTTACGATTTATCGTGTTTAGAACACGAGAGGTCATGGCTATAAACTTCAGCAGAACCACGCCAGGTTGGAAGTACGGGCCAACTTCTTCGCACACAAGGTCATACCTATGTGGAACAGGTTACCTGCAGAAGTGGTCAACTGCACCAATGTTACGCCTTCAAGGTGGCCCTGGACGCATGTTGGTCAGCAACGTTCCCCAAAGTTAGTATTTGGAGTGGGAACATAAGGAATAAATTCTACTTAAGTCGGAGGCCTTGAAATGGTGCGAACTCGGGCTTGACTGTTAGAATTATTCTGAAATTGACTGTCCTGTCACATGTGATCTGTGTATACGAACGACTGTGTAATTGAGGTCCCTCACCAATGAGGCGACGAGATATCCTTGTTTGCTTTCCTCCCTTTCAGTATACTTCCAAGAAGTCAACGTTCTGGCAACGAGGCTAAATTGAGAGGATCACAAACACCTAATCAACTGTACGCAGTGTTGGAAGCTACTCTCATCCGCCGACAACACAACGAACTGGACGCTCGATTGGCAAGAGCCATATTCGTCCTGTGGAAACTGAACTGAACTGAACTGAACTGTACCTGGCCCACCAGTGATATTGCAGCGACCGTCGTTCCCAGGACGGATATCGGCGCGCCGTTGGCTGCAGTGAGACGTTCAAGACATGGACTCATTATGTACCCCTTCAATTTACGCATGACCGAACTTTTAATGAGTGACCGGGAGGCATCTGTATCTATCAGCGCTAAATATATAAGATTACAGATTGTTAGTTCGATCATCAACGTGTCCTGGCTATTTGACTGGTAGCAAACAGTGGGGATATTCAACGTTTTTTTGCTTGGACTCACCAGGTTGTCGTCCACCGTAGTTGAATGTCCTGTTATGCCACGGGCTGGTGATCTGTGCTGGAACCGATACTTGGGCCGCCACGGTCGTCGCATTCCTCAGCCTCTCTGCCACACCTGATGTCTGACCCTTTTGTGCACCATCGTGCCCCACCGCTAGACATTCTCCAGGTGCTGCTGTGGCCGCCTCTAGCTTCTCCATATCTTCTGCACGTTTGACATCCCCCTCCAAGTCCGATGGTGGGTTCATGAGCAGATGCCGTCGTACGTTATTGGATCTGGAACCCTCGGCTAGTTGTTCCAGCAACTTCTTCTCCACTTCCGCGGGCCAATCATTTTCAAACGCTCTGCTGGCCAGCCGGCGCAATTCTTGCACAAACCTTTGCACGCCCTCGCCGTTGTATTGGTGCCGTGCGTTGAATTGCTTCCTATATTCCATGGGCAGCAGGGGTGAATCCAGCAACCTTCGAAGGCACGGAAATGTTTCTGCTGTAACGCCTCTCCACATGCAGTGCACCTCGGTCACCAAATCGAAGGCCTCTCCACCAAGCAACGATAACACCAAATTGAGATGAAGTTCAGGTAGAAAATTCTCAAGATATATTTTAACTTGTTTCTCCCACCGCTGGAAGTTGTCTCTAACATTGTACTTCTCCGAGACTGAGCAGGTCGTTGTTGGTACCATGGTTGTAAATTTTTATAACCGTTCCGTCAGTGCACTCAGAATCTCCGCCAGCTGCGTGCCGTCTGTGTCAACCGTCTGTGCGGACGGGTCTCCACTTTTCGGAGTCTTCGGCATATTCAGAGATTGATCCTGGCCGGGTCGCCAATTTGTTCCGAATGGGGCCCTTTTATACGCTTGGACATTTCGGGCGCAATACCCGGAGGATGACCCTATTTTTGAGTGTTGTGTAACAGCTGGAGACAGCTTTTGCTATCCGAAACATGCCGTTCTTATATCTGCCCAGTCGGCTGACTTGGATGCGTGCAGGATGACGTTTTCGAGGAACTCTATATCGTCGTGTCCGGGACTGAACATGGTGCACATTCCTGACCGGCATTTTGGCGTATATGCTACATCCCGTTTTATTTTGCTTTTCGTCTATTCTCGCATCAGAGTCCCTTTAGGCTTTGGCGTTGACTTACTCAACGGCGAACCCTTCGGTCCGTGTGTGTCCTTTGGTGTGAACACCTGACAATGAGTCTTCTTTGGGTAAGTCGCTGATTTAGCTATTCCGGGAGCTCCTACCCTTCGCAGCTTAATTGTTGCATTCTATAACGGTCCTACTCTCTGTCCACTCATTATTTAATAGTTATTTCTACAGAGCGGATCTGACCTTGACCGCCCGTGGTTTGAACTTTGTTGTGGAGCCTTAAAAAGGAGAAAGTTCAGGTAAACGCGACAGAAACATTGCTTGGAAAAACGGAAACCTGGTCGATTTCGTTTACACGTATAAGTATATCTCGACTGAGGGGGATTTGCCAACGTGGGACTTCCTTAGTGATGACAAATAATCACAGGTGAGTTGCAGTGTATGATTCGGGAAGGCCAATCACCACTGTGACGTTAGTTTAGGCTAGCTTTATCTGAAATCAAATATTGTGTTGTACTGTTCTCTTGCTTGATCATTGTTTCCGTTTTTTTGTTTATCCTAGTCCTTTTTAGTATCGGTGTCTCACTCATAGCTCTCAGTTTTATTCACTCCTATAGGTTTCTATCGATACATAATCAATGGTGAAAGTAGCCCTAGTAGCGATCCCCAAGCTATCCAACAGGCCTTCACCCGCCCACAAGAGAGATACTGAGAGTAAATGTTCCCACCTTTACACACGAAATGGGGGCGCGTAAAGAGCAACCTGCTGGAGCTGACCAATCAGGTAGCACCCGAAAAAAGGGTAAAACGCCGTGGCAAACTGCCCTGGTGGACAGCGCATGTCGACAGAGCAAAGCGGCGCAAAAAGGAGGCGTGGCAGCGCTATCGGAGCTCGGGAGATTTTTGCACCCACGCAAGTTACAAGCTGGTAAGGCGCGAGGCCACTAGAGTCCAGAATGAGTGCAGAAAAAGGTTCGAGGAACGCTTGGCTGTCAATGCCAAGCAGAACACCAAGACGTACTTCAATTATGTGCAGTTCAAGAGTGCCCTTAAAAGGAAGTAGGCACGATTGTTGACGCAGGGGGGAATCAAACCTGGTCCAACCAAGAGAAGGCGGAAGCCCTCCTCAACTACTTCCAGGTGGTGTACAGATCAGACAACGGTAGACCACGGCCTCCCATCAGGAACCATAAGAGAACTGTTATGCTTGTCATGGTGATCTCTGAAGATGAAGTGCATTGGGTCTTAAGGGAGCTCATTCCAACTAAGGCAGCAGGGCCAGATGGCATCCACCTCGCTATCCTGAGACCATTGGCTGACCACCTGGCTGAGCCCCTTGCCAGACTATTCAAGGCCTCCATCGCACAGAACTAACTACCCACGGATTGGCTTTTGGCAGCAGTTATCCCTATCCACAAGGGGGGAGAGCGTAAGTCGTGCTGGAACCATCGCCCAGTCAGCCTGACATCGGTAGTACTGAAAGTCATGGAGAGAGTACTGAGTGCCAGGATCGCTGAACACGTGGTAGCTGTAGGTACATTGACGGCTGACCAACATGGGTTCAGAAGGAGGGAGTCATGCCTGTCAAATCTCCTCAAATTTCTTCATGAAGTAACTAAGATGATCGAAGGGGAGAGGAAGTTGAGGTCTGCTACGTAGACTTCCAGAAAGCGTTCAACTTGTCAATCATAGGCTACTGATAATGAAGTTGAAGGCCTTCGGGCTGCCTCCTGGACTGCTAGAATGGATACACAGTTGCTTAACAACCCGGAAATTTGTTTTGAGGGTAGAAAATAGCATATCAAGCCAGGGACGGGTGCTTAGTGGAGTGCGACAGGGCTCTGTTCTACGTCGACTGCTTTTTTTGCTTAACATCAACGACCTCAGCACCAGCCTGGAAAACCGTTACTACAAGTTTGCAGACGATGTAAAAATCGTCCGGGATTCCACGACAGAGTCGGTTCAGAGAGATCTTGACAAAATCCACGCGTGGTCAGTCAAATGGGATCTGCCTCTGAATACCCTGAAGTGTCAACCGCTAGTCAAAACTGGAGGCACGCAAGGTGCAGGACACTGGGAACCCCGGACAATACCCAACAAATACCCACGGTAACCACGACCAGAGACCTAGGTATCCATGTAAGGGCGGACTTCAAGCCTGGACTCCAGTGCCGAGAGGCGGCAGACCGGGCATCCAGAGCCTTGCACCAACTAAGACGTGCGGTAAGCTTTCGGAAACCCGAAGTCTTGCTCCCTCTTTACAAGGCGTATGTGCGTCCGCACCTCGAATACTGCGTCCAGGCTTGGAGCCCGTTTCTGATCCAGGACATGAAAACTCTAAAAACAGTGCAGCGTCGCTTCACCAAATGGTTTGCGGGTTCAAGACATCTATCTTATGAGAGGCGTCTCGAAGCGCTAGATCTTTTCTCATCAAGCAGGCGTAGGCGGCGCGGGGACTTGATCGAAGCATACAATATCCTGAGGGGGATAATGGAAGTACCAGATGGAGCACTGCTCAAGATCAGTGAAACAACGAACCTGAGAGGGCACATACTGAAACTGGTTAGAGATAGACTGAGGACTCGGCTTAAAGCGTTCTCGTTCGCAACGAGAGTTGTGAATGATTAAAATAGACTGCCGCATGAAGTCATCGCCGCCAACTCGACAGCAGACTTCAA